ATTTTTTTAATGCAAACATTTAATACTTACACCAAAAATGTTTCTGAAATATGCAATTTTCAATAAAAAAACCATTAAATTTTCAATATTTTTTTTTAGCATTTATTTATTCATTTAAATATTAATAACATTTATAATGGCGCAACAGGCACATAAAGTTAACCATATAAATACATGTATATTAAATAAAAGTACACATGTTATATGGTACATATGTACATATATCTATACGTAAATATATAATTGCTTTGTATGTATTCAATTAAAGGCTTAACATATGTATTGTAAACATGTAAGTAAATATATGCTTTAACGTAATTTGCTTAATCGTTTAGGGCAAATTGTTGCAAACAACTGTTGAATTGTAAATTTCATTTCACTGCTGCGCTTGTTAATCCTCGCTTAATTTCTAAAATTACAAACAAATTGTAACCATGTAAGTATACATATACAATACTTATATCAAAAGTGTATGTACGTGGCGTAAAACGGTTGATTAGCAGCGGTGATATGTAACTTGTTGCTGTTGTAGGTAATAAAAATGTTTTTTTCTAGCGTTTTTTTTTTTTTTTTTTTAATTTTCTTCAAAGTGTTGACATACAAAAATACAAAATTTTTATGCATGCGTTTTACAGTTAGTATAGAAACTACGCTGGGTGGTGAATAATTTGAGAAGACAAAATTTCGGAATTTCTGCTTATACACATTTGTTTGTTGCGAAAATTGTGCGCTAGCAATTATAGAAAATTACAAAAAATTTTGTTGTTTTTTGCAAAAATTTACAAAAAATTTTTTCGTGTTTGCCGTCAATTACTTGCACACTTTGGTAACTGTGGGCGGCGGGAATGTGTGGATTTCGGAATGGGTGCTCGCGGGCGAATGAGTGGGGTGCTGAAGTAGTGCGCTGCTGGGTGGTAAGCGCCCAATTTCTCGTATGAAGGATTGTACTTTTGGCATATGAGTTGCAAGTGTCGATATATAAACATATATAGGGTGCTTATTTCACTAAAAATTAAAATTACAAATAAAATTATGCATAATACAAATGGTGGTGTGGCGTATACGCAACATTTTCATATTCATTTTCAATACAAGTGCGTGCATGCATACATACATACTTATGTATGTAAGTAAGTTATGTATAGTAGCTTATGCCGCTGATAACTATTTGAATTGGCAAAAGTAGTCAAAAACAAAAAACAAAAATGCCCGTCGTCACTTGTAAGCTCATGCATTTTTGAGGCATATGGACGTGTGTATGTATTGCTGTGGTTGTGTGCCTCACATAGCTGCGTTTTGTTGCTGTACTCATTTTACAGCGACATTCTCATGCGGCATGGTTTAGAAATCATAAGAGTGATCTTCATCATCGCCCTTGCGCACCTTAAAGACAAATCGGTAAATGATGGCGGCAACAACGGCACCGGCGAGCGGTCCCACCCAGTAGGCCCAATGATCCGTCCATACGTTCTGAATGACAGCGGGACCAAAGGAACGTGCCGGATTCATGCTGGACCCAGTCAATTTGACCTTGTGAGTTAAAAGAAGATAAAAAAAAAAAATAAATAAAAATAAAAAAATAATAATAAATAAAAGAAAAAATGAAAATTCCAATAAATATATACTTTCTACTTACAGCACACAAGTGTCCAGCCGTGATGGAAAGACCAATAGCGAGTGGCGCTGAGCCCTTGATGTCTGTGCGTCCGGGATCGCACACAGCTTTGACCACGAACACCAGCAGGAAGGTGATCAAAGCCTCAATGAGCACCACGCGTCCAGCATCGAGTGTGCTGGCATATAAAGACACACCCAAATTGGCGCCGGCTACCTCCTCAGTAACGGCGGCCTAATAAATTAGTGAAAAATATTGGCATTTAATATATTTTTTGTTAATTGCTATGCCTCGAACTTACGACTATGACCGCTGCTCCAGCTATGGCGCCGATTAGCTGCGCTAGGATGTAGAGCACACTCTTCAAGATGCTCATCTCACCAACAACGAGGAAGCCGACGGTTACGGCTGGATTAATGTGACAGCCGCTGATATGACCCAGACCCTGTAATGAGAAAAAAATTATATATTTTTAGTTATTTGTAAAATTTAATAAAATGAGGATAGGTTAGATCGTTGTGCATACTATTATTTAGTTGTGTTCACGCTGATAAATGTTAAAGGGTTTAGATAAAGTGGAAAATAAGAAGAAAAATTTAACAAATAAAAAGTGTGCCATATTGAGATCTGATTTTTTTCGTTCGGTTTGTTTGACAGCTATATGCTACTGTAGTACGATTTGAACGACATTTCGGATATTATAACGCTGACCAAATTTCGGGTGGATAATTTGTCAATTCTAAAAATGTTCCGTACAAGAACTTGATTCTGATCGCTCGGTTTGTATGGCAGCTATAGGCTTTAGTAGTCGCATCTGAACAATCTCTCAAGAAATTCTACTGTTGCTTTAGAAAGTAAGTCATATCGAATTTTAGGAAGATATCTTGTCAAACAAAGAAAATTGCCATACCAGAACTAGGTATCGGCTGAATAATTTCTATGACATTTATGTATATGCTATAGTCGCGCGATCTCGGCGATTTCGACAAATGAATAACTTTTAAGCAGAAAAAGACGTGTGCAAAATTTCAGAGCATAAATCGGCTCAGCTTGTCACGTTGTTTAGGTTTCTATAAACTTTTTCTATGGTCTCCAACGTTTAGTTTTGAAAATTACAAACTTTATATAGTCATATACTACTACTCCCACTACCAACAACATAGACTTCTCTCTTCACTCTTTCTTTACGTGTCTTACTTATCCTCTCATAACTGTTTTTCACAATTCATAATTTCCACACTTGCAAATTAATCTTTCCGTCTTAGTGTTTTTCCTAATTCCGGATCCTCTTGAACATCCAAATGTGGTTTGAGATGAGTAGTTAAACCATGAGTACCTCAGCTAGTTAAGAAATATCGATTTATGCATGCAGATTTCTGAGGAAGTTATCCAAAAATTTTGCACAATTCAAAACCGCAACAATAACGGATTCAAAGCTGGATTAGATAACTGAGCGAATTTGATTTCATCAAGTCTTGATCGGAAGGTTTTCGCGACGCTATAGATCAGAAATTATAAAATCGTGCCAAGGA